TCAATAAAGCCAACTGATGCGACTGCCAAAAACCGAATCCGAGCTGAGCAGTTGCGAGCCGAGCTGGTCAGGCACAACCGACCTGAGAGGATGAGCCGAGCTAAAAGTCCTGTGAAGAGAGGGGAATGGCGGGACCGGCGTCCCTGAAATAACTCCGACGGTCAAGTCAGTCAAGCTTGTCCACAAAGTAATAGTCTAGAGTACTTGTGTATGCGTACCTTGTGTTACCTTTAGATGTGGTTTATATAGGGCAGAATGGGTTGTAGTTTCCTTGTAGGAGTCAGAGTCCCCTTAGGGTTTGGAGTCTTCTTAGGGTTTTGGGCGGCGCCTCCTACAAGTTCGGAGACGGCGGCCCATGAGGCCCACCATAGGGAACAACCGTTATGGCCGAGCTAGTATCTCCCTGCCGAACTGATGTGCGCTCGACGTGAGGTCTCCCTTTGGTCGACCTGGTACACGTAGTTGGCCGAGCTGACACGTGTCACGTGCGGATTTGCCCCACTACACTAGCCCCCCTTGGGTCTAGAGTCACTGAGGATTGCGTGAGTCTGGACCAAAGTACGAAACGCTAGGTCGGCCTCCTGGGGGACCCACGATCCCACGATCACATACCTTGTTCTGATGTCCGCCACGTATGCCCTCGTAACCGTCCCTTCAAGGGTCACGTCCTCCATGATGGCGGTTGTCAGCTCAAACGTCTTCCTAGATAACCGTCCCTTTGCCATAAATTCGAATTTCTACCTCGGGACTCTTCAGCTTCCCGCCCAGGGGGCCTATAAATAGGTCCTACCAAACGTCACTTTCAAGCCTTCCTTCTCATTTTCTCTTTTTTCCAGTCTTCTTTAGCTCGCTCCGCATCCTGTGAGGTCGTCCGAGAGTAGGATTTCCTTCTAAACTCATTTCAGTTCTTCCCCTTCATCCATCAGTAAGTCCTCTTTTCCTTTTATGTCGTCTTCTTCCACACACTCAGACCTCACCAGCTCGGCACCTAGGCGTAGAGTCACCCGACCTGCACTTATAGAAATACCATCCTCCAGCCTTTCCTCTTCCAGCTCGTCCGAGTCTGAATATTTTCCTCCCCCAACCCCGACCCCTGCTACAGCCATGAACCAACCGGGTCCATCTGCTCAGCCCGAGGCTGGAGCGGCTGTCCCAGGGATTCCTCTGGAGGTAGTTCCAGCTCGGGCTAGGGTAGGACCTGCTAGGGGGCCGGACATCGACTTTGGAGAAGTCGAAGTTATCCCCCCCTCCTTGACCAGGGGGACGTGGACGAACTGGTGGGGAGATACAACATTCTCCCCCAGTTCGAGGCTAGGGCAGCCCGACCAGGGGAGTACGCTTGCCGACCTCCTCCTGGGTTCGTGGCTATCTACAAGGATCAGCTCATCGCTGGCATCCGCCTTCCAATTCCCCAATTTCTTTATGATATCCTAACCTTCTGGGGTATCCGAATTACCCAACTCGTTCCAAATGCCGTTCGGTCAATCCTCGGCTTCTTTATTTTGTGCCGAGCTCTCGAAATCCCTTACACCTTGGACCTATTTAGGTCATTTTTTCAAATGAAGGTGAGCGGCCCGGTTCACGGATGGTTCTACTTCGCCCGCAGGAGCGGAGGGGAACTCCCTACCCGCGAGCTGTTCTTGCATGTGCCTTCCTCCATCAAGGGCTGGAAGGCACACTTCTTTTTTGTAAAAAACACTGGGTTCCCTCCTCTGACCTGGAGGGAGGAGACCCAAGTATCCGATTCCCTTCCCTCACCTCTGCCTGAGGCTGAGCTGGACCGCTTGGTCAGCTCAGAGGCCCGGCTGAACGTTAAAGAGTTGACTAACGCACAGCTCTGGTCGGCGGGGCTGATTCGAGCAGAAGTGAATGACCCTGCCCTCGATCTCCGACCCCTTCTTCCAGAGGAGCTGACAGCTCGTAACTTCTTGGCTTTATTTCCTCTCTTTTATCTTGTGGGTTTGATTACCCCACCCAAACTGACCTATCCTTTTCCTCTGCAGTGAAGAGATTCTCCCAGTTGCTGAACATTGGAGGACCCAGCAGTAGCACGCCCACTCCCGTGCCTTCCACCGCGCCGAGCAGCACGGTGCCCCTTCCTCCACCAGTGCCTACTCCCCAAACTGCAGCTCAATCATCACTGGGGGAGGGACAAAAGAAGAAGAGGAAGAAATCGACGGCCAAGAAGGCCAGGACCGAGGCGACTTCCCCCCAATCCCAGGAGGTGCCCTCCACTGCTGTTGCCTCTCACTATGGGGTGAGCACTGCCGAACAGCAGGGCTCATCAGAGTCACCCCCAGCTATGTGGCGCATGAGGAATGTGATCCCCATGAAACCCCCCACCGAACTGAGCTCACACCCCCACCCCCTGTACTTCTGCCCGAATTGGGGGCTGTCGGTGAATGACCGAGCTCAATTCCCTGAAGCTGCCCGGGAGCTCGTCAAGGGCGCTGTACTTCTCTGCGATCATCACTTCATCCAGCTTGCCTCCAACGCCGAACCGCTGGAGCACTTTTACCTTAGTACCGCTCAGGTGACTTCTTAACTAGTACTTCCCTGACATCCCTACAAGTTTACTGTCTTCTTACCTGACGCTTGATCTGTAGCTCAACGTTGCTGAGGCTGAGCTGGCGCAGCGGTACGAGAATATGGGGGTCAACCTGTCCCAGACCGATGCTGCCAAGGAAAGGCTGTCGACCCAACTCGAGGCAGCCGAGGCCGAGCTAGAGTCCTTGAAAAAACAGCTTGAGGACGCCAAGTCCTCCTGCGAGTTGGAAAAGAAGAAGGCAGCTGACCTTGCCGCGACCCTGGAGGCCGAACAGAAGAAGTGTACCGAGCTGGTGGAAGCGGCGAAGGAAGAGGGACGTCAGCTAGGCGTCCAGGAGTTTAAGAAATCTGACCGCTTTATGAACGACCTGGCCATCCTGAATGGCCCTGTCCTGCAGCTCGGCTACACAAAAGCCTTAATTGATGTGAAGTCCCAGAACTTGCCGGGTTTTGACCTAAGCAAATGGCCTGATTACAATCCCCAAGCCACCAACCAAATCGACAGGCTTGTCACAGGCTACTCCAATGGGCGCGACCTGGCTGCCTTGATCGCCGACCCCAACCTTCCCGCCCTCTCTCCCGAACCAGAGCAGGAACAGCAAGGGGAGAGCTAGGCGGTTCGTACATAGCATAGGTCTGTAGGATTTAGGCTAGAGTAGGGACCGAGCTGGCCGGCTCGCTTTTGTATGGCCCCCCACTTGTACATGCCTTTTTGAAATGAAATGCATGACCTTTTCTCTTACTCGTAAAAATTCTTCTTTTATTTCAAAGCTTTGAGTACATTTATAATCCCAAATGCCGAACTACTAAAATAAAAAGCAGACCTGTCCAGCTGACCACTATCAGCTCGGGCAGGATACTAAAGAAAAAGCCTCAAATTTGAGTTGTGCCAGGTGCGCGAGACTTCGTCCCCATCCGAACGAGCTAGCTTGCAATAACCTGCTCGACCAACCTCCTTTACCACGTAGGGGCCTTCCCAGTTTGGGTCTAACTTGCCTGTGCCCCCAGCTCGGCTTACGAAATTTTTGCGTATTACCAGGTCCCCTGGTTTGAAAGAAAGGTGCCTTACCCTGGCATTGTAGTAACGTGCGACCTGGCCCTTATACTTAGCCATTCTTATAGCCGCCTCTTCCCTTCGATGCTCGAGCAAGTCTAGGTCGAGTCGCATCTCTTCCTCGTTGCTTTGGGCCACGAAGTGTTGCACCCTGGCCGAAGGCATCCCAATTTCCGCAGGGATCACTGCTTCCACTCCATATGTTAGAACAAACGGAGTTTCTTGTGTAGCCGTCCGAGGCGTGGTCCGGTAAGCCCATAGTATAGTGGGCAGCTCGTCTAGTCAACCCGTCCGAGCAGATTCTATCCTTGTCTTCAAGCCGTGCAGGATGGTTCTGTTAACATTCTCGACCTGTTCATTGGCTTGGGGGTGTCCCACTGAGGTGAAGTGCTGCTGGATACCGAGCTCAGCGCACCACCCCTGAAGCGATTGATCCGCGAACTATCGGCCATTATCCGAAACAAGAACCCTAGGTATGCCAAATCAGCAGACTACGTTCCTCCAAAGGAACTTGTCTACCGACCTGCTGCTGATCGTACTGAGCGGCTCAACTTCTACCCACTTGGTGAAGTAATCAATTGCCACTACCAAGTATTCATAACCACCAGGAGCTCGGGGGAAAGGTCCTAGCAAATCAACTCCCCACTGGAAGAATGGCCACGGGCTATGAAGAGGGATCATCTCCTGAGTTGGGGCGTGATGAACCGGAGCGTGCAACTGGCATGATTTACACCTGGCCACCAGCTCGGCAGAGTCCCTGAAGATGGTCGACCAATAGTACCCAGCCAACATTCCCTTTTTGGCCAAAACTCTGGGACCGACATGGTTGCCGCAGATGCCGTCATGTAGCTCGCGCAGGACATAGCTCCCTTCTTCAGGCGTTACACACTTCAATCAGGGCTGTAAGTAAGACTTCCTGTATAAGACTCCCTGTGCGAGGACGTATTTCTGTGATTTTAGGAGGATCTTGCGAGCCTCCGTTCTGCTCAGCGGGAGCTCACCCTGAGCCAAGTACCGAATAATGGAATCCATCCAAGAGCTTACCACCTGGATAACCGCAGCCCGGACCTGGTCATACGCCCGACTTCTGATGATCTCCACCATTATCTCATGACCTAAGATGCCAGCCGAGGTGGAGGCCAGTTTGGACAGGGCATCAGCCCTCTTATTCCGACTCCGCGGAATCTGCTCAAGTGCGAACTGTTCGAACAGGCCCATCAGCTCATGCACCTTGGCCACGTATCTTCTCAGCGGCTCCTCCTTGACCTCGTAGTTTCCCCCTACCTGGTTCACTATCAGCTGCGAGTCGCTATAGACTTTTATCGATCTTGCCCCTAACTTCCGGGCCATTTCTATCCCTGCAATCAGAGCTTCATTTTCTGATTCATTGTTAGAAACTCTAAAATCGAACCTTAGTGCATAGGGTAATTCCTCCCCAGTGGGGCTGATTAGGAGGTAATTCCTTCTTTGCTTGACGCGCCATCCACGTACAACGTCCAAAAGGGATCAACTCGTCCCACAGCCTCAGCAACCCTCCCGGCCTGGGCAGTCTCTCTGGCAGTCCAGCCTTGACTGATTCTCCAGCATGCTTGGCCTCAGCAGCGTCTAATGCCTGTTCGACCTTCGCTGCCTCTTTGGCCTGTCTGACCTTGGCAGTTTCTTGGGTATGTTTAGCCTCTGCTGCTTCTCTGGCCTGCCTACCCTCGGCAGTTTCCTCGGCCAGCTCGGCCTCAACTGCCTCTTTGGGCTGACCAACCCCTGTTACCTGGATGACCTTAGCGACCTCGGCAGCGTCCCCAGCCTGTAAGACCTCTGCTCCTTCTTGAGCCTGGGTGGCCTTGGTAATTTTTGGGGTCTGCAAGGGTTTGGCCGCCTGCCTAATAGGCGCGTCTTTAGCTTCTCCGCCCTTCCCGATCTGTACGTCCTTGGTCTGACCGTCCTCCGTTTCGGGCGACCCAAAAGAGACACCATCCGCTATGAAGTCTGCCAGTGCTTGGGCTTTGATGGCCGTCCGGGGCTGATATCCTAGGTCATACTCTGACAACTCCACAGCCCACTTCACCATTCGACCTGAGGACTCAGGTTTGGAAAGGATCTGCTTCAGGGGTTGGTCCGTCGTGACCACCACGGGATGGGCTTGGAAGTACGTCCTGAGCTTCCGAACTGCGTGTACTAATGCCAAATCATATCGCTCCACCGCCGAATATCTTGACTCGGCCCCTTGCAGGGCACGGCTGACATAATATACTGGTTTCTGTACTTTGTTCTCCACCCGTACCAGCACAGCGCTAATGGCCCCTTCTTCCACAGCTAAGTAGAGGAACAGAATCTCCCCTAACTCGGGAGAGGTCAAGGCTGGCAACCGAGTGAGGTGTTCCTTTAGTTCATCGAACGCCTTCTGGCACTCTGGGCTCCACTCGAACTGCCGACCTCCTTTCAAGGCCTTGAAGAAAGGCGACTCCCGAACTGCCGATTTGGACAAGAACCTGTTCAAGGCTGCCATCCTCCCTGTTAGACGTTGTACCTCCTTAATATTCCGGGGTGGAGCCATGTCCATGATAGCCTTGATCTTGTCTGGATTAGCTCTCACCCCTTCTTTAGAAATCATGTAACCCAGGAATTTCCCCGACCTGACCCCAAAGGTACACTTCTTGGGGTTTAGCCGTATTCGTGAGCTCCGGAGAATCTCAAAAACTTCTCTCAAGTCAGAGATGAACTGCTCCTGAGTTCGACTTTTCACCAGCATATCGTCCACATAGACCTCCAGGTTTCGACCGATCTGATTCTTAAACAACTTGTTTACCAACCTCTGATAGGTCGCCCCTGCGTTCTTTAGCCCGAATGGCATAGTAACGTAACAATATGTTCCGTCCTCGGTGATAAACGAGGTCTTCTCCTGATCCTCCTCGTCCAGAACTATCCGATGGTACCCCTTGAAAGCGTCCAAGAAACAGAAGATCTCATAGCCAGCTGTCGAGTCTACGAGCTGGTCAATCCGTGGAAGTGGATAACAATCCTTCGGGCAAGCCTTATTTAAATCGGTGAAATCCACACACATCCTCCAAGCTTTCTCCTCCTTCTTGACCAGTACCGGATTGGCCAGCCAGGTCGGGTAGTAGACTTTCTTGACAATCTTAGCCTCCAGCAGCTTACCCACTTCGCCTTTGACGACCTCCTTCCGCTCAGGAGCAAAGTTCCTCTTTTTTTGTTTCACAGGTCCGACGTTGGGATCCACTTGTAGCCTGTGGACTACCAGTTCGGTGGGGATTCCTGGCATGTCATCAGCACTCCACGCAAAAATCTCCGCATATTCCTCCAAAAGAGACTCGAGAGAGCTCCTGACCAGCTCGCCGAGGTTGGCGCCGACCTTCACTGTGCACTCAGGCCGGTCAGACTGGACAGGCAGCTCGGCTAACCCTCGTCTGTCTCCAATCTCTCTCCTCTCTCCATAGGCTCCCAGGGCTCTAAGCAAACCGTTTGAGCTACCAATTTTTCTTTGCCCTTGAGGGTGGCAATGTAGCATGCCCTGGTCACCTCTGGATCCCCGAGCACCTCAGCCACCCCCTCAGGAGTAGGAAACTTCATGCTGAGGTGCAACGTGGAGCAAACAGTTCGGAGGGCATTCAGTGTGGGCCGTCCCAAAATCATATTGTACGACGACGGCTCCTTAACCACCGCGAAGTTTACCGGAATAGTTCGGCACTTCGGGGATACTCCCACCGTAACCATGAGAGTGATCATTCCTTCCGGCCTCACGGGAGGACCTGCAAACCCGATCAATGGAGTCCGAACCGGGACCAGCTGTCTATCCTCCAGCTGGAACTCCTTAAAAGTCTTGTAATACAGCACGTCTATAGCACTCCCGTTGTCTATGTATACCTTTTTCACCTTGTAATTACAGGTGATGACCTCTATCACAATAGCCTCATGATTGTTGGAGGCCAGAGGGAATGCGTCCTCAGGTCCGTAGATAATTTTCTCATACATATTCAACCGCTTGGTCGAGCTCTCCCCCGTGGGGGGAGGTCGATTGTGCCGCCGAGCTGTATGACTATCCCCGCCGGCCGGTCCTCCGGCAATAGTATTAATCACCCCTGCCAGATTCTGTGTCTCCTGCTTAGGAGCTCGACCATGAGGCCCCTGAGGTCGGTCCCGGAGGTAGCTTGGTCGTTCCGACCTGGGCCTCCCTCGTTGCTGGTCAGCTCGGTCCTCTCGTATGAACTGCCCGAGGTGACCTCGTTTGATTAGTTTCTCAATGTCTTTCTTGAGGTGACGGCAGTCCTCCGTGTCATGCCCCACCTCTCGATGATAAGCGCAGAACAGCCCTTGGTCCCGTCTACTTTTGTCCCCACCCAAAGGTCGGGGAGGTCGGGAGAGCCCCTCCTGTTCCATAACTGCGAGCACCCGAGCTCGAGGTGCGGTGAGGGTAGTCCAGGGCTTGTCTCCTCCGATTGGGCGGCTCCTGGGGAGGCGATCATAAGCGCTCTTCCTTCCCTGGCTAGGCCGAGCATCCACCTGGTCGGCGCCTCGTCTGCGCTTGTCATCCCTCAGTCTTTCCTGTGCACTCTTAAGGCGATTGGCCTCCTCTGCGTTAGCCTTCTCATGAGCTCGGTCTAGCATTTCCCGAGCTGACTTGGGGGGTCTCTCCACGAGCTCGGTGTAAAGCTTTTGCTTGCGCAGCCCGTTAATGAAGGCAGCCATAACCACCTTGTCATCCCGATCTCGAACCTGAAGGGATTCGTTATTGCAGCGCACCATGTACTCGCGCAGGGACTCCTCTGGCTTCTGCTGGATGGTCATCAGGTGAGCAGTACTCTTGAAGAAGGCCCGTGACGAAACGAACTGGGCCGCAAAGAGTCGCGCGAGCTGGGCAAAGGACCGGATGGACCTGGGGGGAAGCCCCTGAAACCACTGACGCGTCTTACCCTCCAAAAACATTGGAAAGGTCTTGCACCTGACCGCATCTGCAGCAGTTTGCAGGCGCATTTGGGTCATGAAAGCGAACAAATGATCCTCCGGGTCCGTGGTCGCATCATAAGACTTCATGCTTGGTATTTTGAACTTTGCCGGCAGCGGGTAATCCTCGATGTCAGGGACGAAAGGGGAGGCGATATACCTATCCGCCTCGGGGTCTAAAAGCAGGTCCAGCTCGTCCTGCACCAGGAGCTGCTCCTTCCGTGGTGAGAGCCCCTCCTTAGAACATCTCCGGAAGGGCTCCGGGTGCTCGGTTCTGGAGTGCTTGTGGGAAGGTTCCACGACGTCCACCTGGTCTCGTGTGAGCTCCCAGCGTTCCCTTTTAGGTCGAGGGCTAGGGCTCCCCGTCCTAGATTCGGACGGCCTACCCTCCTGGCTCTTGGGCCCCTGGCCGAGCTGGCCTACTGCCTGCCCCTTGAGGTAATTCACAATGGCCTCAAAAGTTGGTAGGTTCCCTGCCACCGTCTGAACCAACTGCTCCGGCGGAATTTGCGAGAGCCCCACGCCTCCATCTCCAAGAGTCGGTCCTCGTGAGGGGTGCTGGGGGCTGCTTCCCTCGTTCCCCTTGGAACCATCGGCATTCCTCTGGGATCTAGTTCTTGGCATGATTCGCAAGAGAAGAATTACGTGTTCCCACAGACGGCGCCAATTGATGCGACCGCCAAAAATCGAATCCGAGTGAGCAGTTGCGAGCCGAGCTGGTCAGGCACAACCGACCTGAGAGGATGAGCCGAGCTAAAAGTCCTGTGAAGAGAGGGGAATGGCGGGACCGGCGTCCCTGAAATAACTCCGACGGTCAAGTCAGTCAAGCTTGTCCACAAAGTAATAGTCTAGAGTACTTGTGTATGCGTACCTTGTGTTACCTTTAGATGTGGTTTATATAGGGCAGAATGGGTTGTAGTTTCCTTGTAGGAGTCAGAGTCCCCTTAGGGTTTGGAGTCTTCTTAGGGTTTTGGGCGGCGCCTCCTACAAGTTCGGAGACGGCGGCCCATGAGGGCCACCATAGGGAACAACCGTTATGGCCGAGCTAGTATCTCCCTGCCGAACTGATGTGCGCTCGACGTGAGGTCTCCCTTTGGTCGACCTGGTACGCGTAGTTGGCCGAGCTGACACGTGTCACGTGCGGATTTGCCCCATTACACCAACTATTTGGAAAAACACTTTGCTGAGTGTTCCTTCATTCGGCTGACACATGCAAACTTATTCCCTTATGCTGTCACGTTTTCTAGTAGCTTCTTGAGTCCAGGTATAGTTGCATTCCCCCTTTCAATATTGTGATGCTAATTCATTGCCGAATGTAAGGGTACAAATTAGGGCCAAATTCATGACTAAGTTGACTATTTTTTCCCTTTTTTTGTCATCAGCCAAACCGCAGCCCACTTGAAACCATCTGCTAGGAATTTCAAGCAGGTTGCAATTACGAAGCTAGTACTGATCGAAAGAACTTCACTGGCTGCATTTATTCGACTTCAACCTTCACAAACCAATACCTTCCTGCCTGGTCCGTATGTTATTTTGTTATTGTTAATCTTTATTTGTGAATTACATCTGACCACGACATCAACGCATCTTAGTCGTTGTTGTTTATACACATTTCATCTTATCTCAATTCTGCGATTCATCGTTGCTTTTATACAAACGATAATTGCTCCTTTGTCAGCTATGGTCCTGTTCTTGCTTATGCTTCTGTTTAATTTTTTGCCCTCAATTTCGGATAATGGCTCATGTGGTTTAATAATTGGCCCATTGCATGAGTTAAGCCTTAGAATAGCAGGGCAAAGTGTTGTCTTAGATTGTGATTTTCATTCGAAAAAAATTATTAATGTGGCTCTAATTGTAAAAAGAAAAGAGATAGAAACATCTTGGGTATAAGAATCTGTTGTGCTTAGAAATAGATATTAACCTGTTGAACTATTAATTACTTCCTTCTATAAATGATGAAAACACCATTGTGCTTATATCAGAGCCTGTGGTTTTTAAGTTTATGTAAGTATACAATAAATCCCCTACCTAATTTTTATATAGATTTGCCTGATTTAATTATTATTGTAATTGCCGGAGGACGGCTTTGTCTGAGTTTTTTAAAAATGTTTGACAATCCGAACATAAGCACTTGTTACCCAAACTATTTATTATATGCTTGACATCTATTTTTTGTGTTGGAGGATTAGGTCTGATAAATTAGTTACCCGACTTGACTTTGAATTCGCCCTCTGTTACTTGGCATGCTTCCAAGGGTGCGTCTTATTGCATCTTGTCTAAATTTTTGCTATATATGGATAACGTTTTGGTAATAGTTTTTTGCTTTTTTTGATAGCTTTGCAAATAAGTAGGGGACTCAGCACTTGTTTTTTGAAGTCGGTTTGGGGAGAAAACGATTTGCAGCTTTGCGTCACTTACTACTTCAAGATATGTTATTTTGAAGATGCTATACTTACTCGGTGTTTGGTATGACATTCTTTTGTTATATAGCAATGTAACTTTACCCTAAGTTTGTTATTTTTATGGTTTTGCCACCCCAAAGGAAAAAAATATGAGTCAATCGCGAGCAAAATATTCGGAACATAACACTTTCACTAAGGAATATGAAATTGCATTTGGCCAACATGTTATCAATATGCATAGAAAGGGAGGAATAACCCCTCATAACATCGGGAGTCAAGTCGTTCTCGAGATTGTTGGGTTACTTAATGACTTGTACAGTAGTCGAAATACCATGCCCTGCAAAGCCTGACTAGGTTGTACATTTCATTTAAGAGAAGAGGCACTACTATAGGTTGGGATGCTACCAACTACACCTTTCTGATGGACCATGCCCACTGGAGGGATCTACTTTAGGTCAAATACCTTCTCCGAGTTTTTTCTATTAAAAATCAGTTCATTTATTCCCCTCTAGATTTACTCATGTACATCTGTCCTTTTCCTACAATTAACTAGCTTAGGCCCTTAGCATTTCTTTTTTCCACTGGCTATATTCATTATTTTGTGTTTCGTTAATGTTGATTTTGGTGCAATTTTTATAGGTGAACAAGTAAGATTTTATGATAGATCATGCCTAATTTTCCATATGCTTGAAGAAGTGTTCATGAACGTGCAGGGTATCACTTAGGGATTATAGAGTAAGGTAGTTGGTGCTTCATGGATAATCACATGCACATCCAACGCGGACACTTGGATGACGAGAGCGATAATATTGATCTCAACAACATACTTGTGGCCTTCATGCTACTAGGGTTGGTGCTTTTTGACCCGTTCATTAATCGTATTCCAAGAAGAAGAAAAGTCCAAGATAGTGCACTCTTCGGCAAGGATTATGTGCTTAAGTTGATAAACGGCTATCGAGACTGAATTATCGAGAACATGTATATGGATGTTCCCTTGTTCCTATACTTGTGCAAGTTATTGATTGAGCGCAGTTACTGGCAGGCATATCCATCTCAGAGGGTTGTGGTTCATGAATCTGTTGCTCTTACACTAGTGTGCTTGAGTCATGATGAGCGACATTGGGTTCTAGCCAAGTGCTTTCAAAATTCAACGGAGATAGTTGATCGGCGTGTATGTTGTTTTCTACGATCATTGATGCAACTTGGTCAGGATCTCATTAGGCCAACAAACTTCAATAACAAGCACCCAAGAATTCTTAATAATGGACTGTTTTGGCCGTGATTCAAGGTAAATAATTACAAATTTGTATACGTACGAAGGTTTGTAAAAATTGCCATAAACATAACGATCTCTTCTTGCGTAGGATTGTATTAAAATCTTAGATGGCACCCATGCCTCTACTTGATGCAAAGCAGAGATAAGAGAGTGGTACAGAAATAGGCATGGTGAGTTATCTCAAAATGTGTTGCAACCTGCGATCATGATATGCAATTTGTCTATATTTGAGTGGATTGGAAAGGCAATGCCTACGATTGTAGAATTCTTCAAAACACCTTACTTGATCCAAATTCGGGATTTTCAATGCCACCTCTCAGTATGTTACTTGTCTATCTTTCGAAACTGCTATTGGATAACTGATCAAATATTCCCAATTTCGTTTGTGTAAATTTGAGAAATAGACTAATTAACATTGAGATTCATTGGCTAACATGTAAATATTATGTGGTTGATGCTGGTTACACTAACATGTCAGAGTTTATGGCACTATTTAGGGGTGTTTGACAGACACAGCATGAACAGGCAGTTAAAGGTTTGTTCAACCGGTGACATGTCTCTCTTAGAAATATTATAAAATGAATGTTCGGGGTTCTCAAGAAACATTTCTCCATACTCAAAGGCCTAATGTAGAACTACTTCATAGCAACTTAAAATAACATTATACTTGCATGTTGTACCCTGCACAACTTCATGAGGAATTATGTGCTCAACGCTGAGTACTTCAATGAAACAACTGTCGTTGAAACCTTTGCTGATGCACAAGAAGGAGGGAACCAAGTCTTGGGGTTCAACCCATCAATATGTCACAATAGGGCATAGAAAACTGGAATGAAGTTCGACAGGCAATTGTGGCTCACATGTATCTCAATGACCACAACTAACATTTCTTTCCTGTCTTAGATCCAGTGTGTCAGCCAACAGTACAATAGCAGGGTCTTGGATCTTCATTCGACTGACCCTTATCAATTTGAATTATGTCGATATAGTACTTATAATAACAATTACTCGGACTTGTACTAGATTAGAAACTTTTCATGATTTTAACAATCTTGGTAACAGATCCTCTATTTAAAGTTTGTTGTATGACTACGTGATCGATGACTCTGTGGGTCGAATGAGTAGTATCAACATGTCCTAAATTTATGCTACTTCAATTAATAGATTACTATGATTGGTTTTCAAACACAAGTCACCATATTGCATTTTTGTTAAGAACAACATGATCATTTTGAAAAAAAATTGATAGTTCTCCCAAGACAAGATTGTAATTATCTGCAAGTTTAAGTTTTAAAATGACACACTTCCATGAATGAAGGCAAACAAGAACTTGGTAATGAGTTAAAAGAATTTGAAAAATATAGTCTCCATTTTGATCAACTACTTTTTAGAGTGTTTTTCAAATATTTTACTGTAGCAGTTTTTGAAATACTATTGATGTCGTTTGGATTGCTGTGAATGAAAAACTCATTAATTTTGAAAAATTTCTCCGTTTGGATTGACCTATATTTGAAAAATAACTATATTTTTAAAATTCTTTTAACTCATTAACAAGCTACTACCTGCCCTCATTTATGAAAGTGCGCCATTTTAGAGTTTAAACTTGCAGATAATTACAATTTTGTCTTGGGAGACCTATAATTTTTTTTTTCGAAATGATCATGTCGTCCTTAACGAAAATATAGTATAGTGAATTTTTATTTAAAGACCAATCATATTAGTCTATTAAGTGAAACAACATAAATTTAGGGTGTGTCGATACCACTCTTTTGTCCCACAGAGCCACAAATCACGTAGTCATCCAGTAAATTTTAAATAGAGGATATATTACCAAGATTATTGAAGTCATGAAAAGTTTCTAATCCAGTACAAGTTCGAGTAATTGTTACCATAAGTACTAAATCGTCATAATTCAAATTGATAAGGGCCAGTCGAACGAAGATTCA